CAGATGATGATCAGGAACATTAGTAGTACCAATCTCACTTCTTCCAGATTAATCTCCACCGGGTTTGTCAGATCGACCAATCTCTCTATTTTCCCATCGAATCCGTCTGCAGGTGGATCGCCTGGACGGCGGCGGGTACTACGGCGGCGTGCGGCTGCTGCTGGCGATCTGCAGGATCTTCCACAACCACTGCAAGCACAACGGAATCGCCCTGGAGGACAAGAACTTCACCCTGTCATACGACACCAACATTCCCCGCCAGGTCCCCCACCCCGAGCCGCCCCCATCCCTCAGATTCATCCGTACTTTCGTGATGCCGGGGAGGTCCCCCCATTCCTTACACCCCTCAAAGATTTATGCTTTTCCAACGCTGGCCGTTGAGAGTTGGTTTGTTTCCTCTGCTTCCCACAGGCAGGGCTCTCCGGCTCCAGCGCCATCGTCTGCGCCGCGCTCAGCTGCCTCCTGGATTTCTACGGCGTCAGGGACAAGATCAGGGTCGAGGTCAGGCCCAACCTCATCCTCAACGCCGAGAAGGAGCTCGGCATTGTCGCCGGGCTTCAGGACCGCGTCGCGCAGGTCTACGGCGGCCTTGTTTACATGGTATAATGTGTGGCAGCTAAGCAACCATGTTCACCTTCACCTGTTGTTCTGTTTAGCTGAATCTTTCAGTTGTGTTTTGCTCCTCAGGATTTTAGCCAGGAGCATATGGATAAGCTGGGCCATGGAGTGTACACGCCGCTTGACGTTGATCTGCTCCCCCCTCTGTATCTCATCTACGCCGAGAACCCGAGTGACTCTGGCAAGGTTTGTTCAACCTGCATTCAAATTCCACTACTTTTTTTGCTTGAACAATCTTTCTGATGTCCACATTTGAACCTTGTCTAACTGATTAGGTCCACAGCAGCGTCAGGCAAAGGTGGCTCGACGGAGACGAGTTCATAATATCGTCGATGAAAGAAGTCGCGCAGCTCGCGTATGATGGCCACAATGTGTTGTTGCAGAAGAATTATACAGAGCTCGCGAGGCTTATGAACAGGAACTTTGATCTGCGGAGGTGAGACCAACGCCGACGAGGCTTGGAAAACAGCCTCTTTAACGAACAGGGCATATGTATGTGTACGAACTTTACCTTCACAGCAGTACAAGCTAGTTAACCAGTCCTGTGTGGGTGGTCACAGGCAAATGTTTGGAGATGACGCGCTTGGCGAGGTGAACATAAAGATGGTTGAGGTAGCGAGGAGCGTCGGTGCTGCGTCGAAGTTCACGGGCAGTGGTGGCGCGGTGGTGGCTCTGTGCCCAGATGGGGACGCACAGGCAGAGCTCCTGAAGGCCGCGTGCCAGCAGGCCGGCTTCGCCGTGGAGCCGATTGAAGTCGCCCCGTCGGCCCTGACAGAGGAGCCGATCAAAGTCACTCCATCGCAGCTCACGGAGGAAGAGCTGAAATTTGTTATGGGGTAGATAAAAGCAGTGGAAGTATGCAATTTGTTGTCACCACAGGAGTGTTCATTTTCTTCTTCGCTCAAGTCATCACAGGATCACAGGAGTTTTTCATGTTGTTTTATACTCCCTTTGTAAAGTAAGACCCTTTAGATCCCTAAAAGACCTTTTTAGATCACTACTTTAGGGATGTAAAAGGTACGCCCTCCGTTCCTTTGAACTAAAACCATGACGAGTAAATTGGAACGGAGGGAGTATTATATTACATCTACAGAGGTATACTTTTGTGCTTGTGTGGTGTAAGTGTTACACTGACGTATTATCATGCTGATGCATGCAAAATAAAAGGTTCCTTTTCTTACCGATGACCTCATTGTCAGTTGATCACAACCAGTCAACCTTGTTCCTCCATTGCTGGAGGTGGATACCCTCCAGCTTCAGCTCTGCTCTGCAAACCGCCTACGGTCGGTCCCCAGCGCCAGCGGCAAGACGAGACTAGCGTATTTTTTGACAACCTGGCCTCTTTGAGCAACTTCAGACACGTCTGCCCTGGGCAAAACTATTTCGGAATCTGACCCCTGGGGTCGGTGCCACACATGATGCCGAACATGTGACATGTTCAACGTCAAACTATTTTCGGGGTCGTGCGATTCTGCATGGTCGTGATCTCCTGAAGATAGGGATTCGGTGGGGTATTGGGGATGGGAGGAGCACTCACATTCTGATTGATCACTGGATCCCCTCGATCCCTCCAACGCTGCTTCGGCCCCTTCACCCCATACCTACCTCGGCCAAGGTCCACTGTTTGATTGATGAGGAGAGTGGGACTTGGAATGAAGATTCGGCGATGGCCTTTGATGTGGCCAACAAATTTTCCCTATCTGCAGTTCTGGTGGCTTTGATTTTGCTCGCTGGCCGTTCACCAGGCTGGGCGAGTACTCAGTTAAATCTGCTGTTATGGCTAGGACGTCTCGCTTCCTGACAGCCCGCAGCTGTAATGGCAGGGGACAACACTCTAATTGGCAGTTGGAGGAAAGATTGTGGAAGGAGCTGTGGAGGGTCAAGGCTCCTAACAAAATGAAGATTGTGCTTTGGAGGTTTGCTCATAACTACTTGCCTTCGAGTGAGCAAATGCTTCGCCGCCAGGTTCCAACGCGGACGGACTGCTGTTTCTGTGGCCGACAGGAGAGTGTTGAACATGCTTTGCTGTTCTGTGCACATGCTCGAGCAGTTTGGATGGTATCAAGGAGTCCACGGGGATCAAGCTGTCTTTTGCGTCGCCGAAGCCGTGGTTGTTTGACTATCTCTCCCGCGGCTCCGAGCGTGATGCTACAATTATCACTATCACCATCTGGCATATATGGGAGGCCTGGAACTCTGCAAGAAATGAACCTGAAGCTCCTCACTCACCCCCGGCGCACGGCTGCGAGGGCTCAGGCTTATATAGATATGGTCTTCCAGCACCTATACAAGCCTACTCTTGCAACTAGGTGTGAGACCCCTGCTTCCAGTTCTCTATGGTCTCCGCCGCCGCTAGGTACGCTTCTGGTTTCCTCTGATGCTGCTGTCTCACGGGAGTTTGGCAAGTCTTGCGCTGGTGTGGTGGTTCAGGACCATTCCGGTCGATGCATAGCTGCTGCTTCTGGACCCCTGATTGGTGTTACTGATCCTGAAGTGGCGGAGGCTTGGGCTCTTCATCGGGCGGTGCGCTTGGTTCGGGGGGAGAACTACTCTGATGTGATCGTTCAGTCGGACTGTCTCTCTGTGGTGCAAAGACTGAATTCTTCCTCCCACGCCCGCTCCTTTGTGGGATCAATTGTTGCTGATATCAGGATGACAACTGGAGCTCTTTCGTCCGTGACTTTCAAGCATGTTCGTCGGCATTGCAATGTTTTAGCTCATGTTTTAGCTAGATCTAGTTTGAACTCTTCGAGTCTGCATTTTTCAGTCTGCTCCGGATTGTATCCGGGAGACTCTTTGTAACTTGTTTGCTTAATCAATAAATGCCGACGTTTTCTAAAAAAAAAACTATTTCGGGGTCGGCGCCACAACACATGACACTGAACATGTTGCTTATTCCCCACGGGGCCAGATTCCGAAATAGTTTTGCCCGGAGGTCAGATGTGCCTGAAGTCCCTCAAAGAGCCAAATTTATAGAGAAAAAAAATTATGAGACTAGCAGAGGCGTCCCTGAACGGGCTTTGTTTGTTGTCGCTTGAGGCCCGACCCACGCAGCCGGCCCAGTCCATGAATCGCTCACACAAACGCCCGGGGCACAAACCCAAGCTCGCCACGTTACTCCCACTCCAGCGCCTTCCCACGCGCGCACAAACCGCGCCGCCGCCCGCCACCGGACGCCATCTCCCCCACCTCTACGCCGCGGCCGCCCGACGGAGGAGCCAGCAGCTCGGATGGCGGGAGAGGACGCGGCGGCATGCGCGCCCCAGGTCGACGGGCACGCGCCGCGGGACGCCGCCTCGTTCGACGAGGAGACGCGGGCCCTCATCGCGCCCGACGCCGGGAGCCTCCCGGCGACCCCGCCCTCCGCCGTCGAGGCCAACTTCGCGCGCTACTTCGTCGCCGGTAAAAAGAAAGACTCCAACTTTGCTGCGCCTCTAAATGATGTACCTGGAAGATTTCGTGCTTAGAGCTCTGTTCCATCGGTAGCGTTTGATTTCTGGAGTGGAAGGAGTATTAGATCCTCACTTCTCAAGTGGAGCTTGCTTCCTTTCTTTGGCGCCGGAAGCTCTAATCTTTCTGTAGTGCTTATTGACTGAATTGATTGTTTGTGCATATGTTGAACTGGTTACATGCTTTACAAAGTTGTTGTGAGAGTATCAGAGTACTAAATTTTTTTATCAAATAATTTGTCCATCCCAACCTGAATAATGCCTTTTTTTTTTCTTTCTTGTAAAATATCTAAAGAAAATAGGACCCTATTTTGTGTCTCTGTGTGTGCAACTCTGCACTGTGCTGCTGTAATTTTAGTTAACAAATTATTGCAATGGCCTATTGTCAAATGTAACCAAAATGGTTAAACTTAAATCGTGTACTCTTACTTTCAGTCATCTAACCCATCTCTTCTCGTTTTCTTGGCAGATTATCTCAACCCAGGACATGACCAGTTTGTGTACCGACATCCAAATGGGTAGGTTTATTTTATTTTTATTTTATTGAGAACTTAAACAGGTCAAAATTTGCTTTCTCATGATTAGCGATAATAAATGGTCTTCTGGTGAACTTTGCATATTCACTAGTACTATCTGAAGCTGGGTTATTTCTAGGCAGTAGAAAAAAGTTGCTCAATGTATGCATAAATAATATCAATCTAGTGATCTTTGCCTTGGACAGATGCATTGTTTAATGTCGCTTACTTATTTCTAATGCAACTCTAGTCGACACATGCTAATAACTCTTTTTTTGCTTAGCAACTTGACATTGGTGATTAGGAAGGAAATTTATTCTCTTTGGTTTCTTATGTTCCTTCAAACTTTAGGTTGTGCGTGGTTGGTTTAGCTCCAGCCCATGTTGCACTGAAAGAGGAAGGGGGAATAACTGCCATTGACTTCAATGTTGGCAAGACAGATCGCAGTGAGATAAAAGTCACAGGGAAACGCAAAAGGGTAATTTGATTGATTGACGTATCTTCCCTGTTTAATTGATTAATTGGCAGAATCATTTGATGTCTGCTTCCTATTACAGAATGCACAACATTTGCAAGAAAATTCAGCATTATGTAAAGTCTGCACAAAGGATAAAACTTTTGTGGTGAGGTTGGTCCGCTAGATCTCGCAATTGATTATGCCTGACGTCATTGTATTTTTACACTGAAGTGTTGTCTACGTTCAATTTCCGTAGGTGTTGCGTGAAAGGGCAGCTTTTGGAGATTAATGATAGATTGATGAAACAACCCGATCTGCTTAATACCTCTGTAAGTACCTCTATCAGAAGGACACTTTTGATGCTTTGCTATTAGTGTGGCTTGTCGTTGTTGGTGGCATATCGTAGCAATGGTGACGCCTACATGCATAAATTGAACCACCTATATTTTTCTACTCCCTCCGTTCCTAAATATGTCTTTTTAGAGATTCCAATAAGAGACTACATACGGAGCAAAATGAGTGAATCTACACTCTAAACTAAGTCTATATACATCCGTATGTAGTCCATAGTTAAATCTCTAGAAAGACATATATTTAGGAACGGAGGGAGTAGTTGGTTGGTACCACTACCGATTGTCTCTTACTGAAGATAGTTTTCTGGTCCAGCCTTTATGATCCATGCGTATCTGAGAGATGTTTCAGTTAGTTTTTCTTTGTAAACTCACTGTTGGTGTTGTTCCCAAGTGAGTGCTGAGTAGCACCGAAACATGAGTGCAACCTTGAGAGGAATATCTCGTCGAATTTCAGTTTAACATGTTTCTAGTAAAAAAAAAATCAGTTCAACATGGATAAGCTTGCACTTTTGTAATGTTGTATATTATTCCATTACCTCTGTTGAAGTATTTCATGTTTTGTCCAGAAGTGTGTGACGAAACCTTGCCTGTGAAGAGTCTGTTGATTCAAACAACATGTTGATTGTGCACATTTGTTTGCTTTGTTTACTATATTCCTTTTTTCTGAAACAGAGAAAGAGACATGAATTTTTCATTAGTTAAGGAGAAATTTGATTTAGAACGTAAGATGCAAAAGGCGTACTCTCCACAGTGATTTAACCCAAATGCTTCACCCATTCAATTCCTCGAATTTTCGCTCCTTGGCTTCTCCGATGACATTTACCATATTCTGACCGGTATATGGTTTTTCCTTTTCATTTGTAGGCCGACAGAGAAGGATACATAGCAATCTTCATGCAGAAACCAGGTGACTGGCTCAAAGTTAAGGATAAATTTCTTAGCTTTGAGGACTACAAAAACTTGAGAGGAATCTGCTGACACCAAAAGGTAGTCAGTGATAACCTTTTGCTTTCAAAGATAGCGATGAACTTGGGCGAGCATATTTCCGGACTTTGACTCAGCGTGCTTATCAATTCCATTGAAATGCTCATAACGAATACTGTTTTCTTACATCATTCTTTGTCGCATGCACATGCACATCTGATTCTTATTTTATTAATTTGTGCAGAGGAATTCATGCCGGCCAATTGTGTATTAATTTTACAATTCAGAGCTGAAGCTCAGGTCTCATCGGCCATGGCCTGATCCTCGCACAGATGCCATCTATTTTATTTAGAATTTGAGAGCTAACTCCAGATAAATTCACCTTTACCGGCGTGATATGAATCCTCTTGTAGTGGCCACAGTGAGGGAGTCTGTTCCCTTTTTCTGACAATTTAGAAGCATTATTCTGATACTTTCAAACTTAATAGTCTACTCAACTGTAGAGCAAGCTTTGGAATCGAAATCATTTGAAGTTCATAGAGAGCTTATGTGCTTCACTCCTTTACTGTATAACTTGATTGTTTCCCCCCACAGAACAATGATTGAGAAATGTATGCTAGTTTGATACAAATAATGAATGGAGTTTACTTAATTTTTTTCTGTCGGGAATTGGGAGGCGGACCAGTTCATTCGCTTATCTTTGAAAAAAAAAAGTCCATTCACTTATAATTCTACCTGGTTCCTGACTACCTTTCTTCTTCGCTTCTGTTCTCCTAGATGTTTCTTGTACACATGCTATGAAATCACAATACTTCCCAAGACAACTACTAGCACATCTTCTGTCGTCTATCGAAACAAAAGCTCTACCAGATTTAAGCATACAAGGTTCACATTAGATTGTTGTACTATTCAAGAGGAACAACCCTGAAACGCATGGATGAAAGTGGATTCATGAATTTAAACAAGGCAATGCTTCAACCAATGAGTGTACAAGCAATGCACATCTGTGATTATGAATTTATGATCGGTTGGACTTGAACAAAGCTTGTGTTTCTGCTTGCCAAAGCTATTGCTTGGTTCAATTAATGACGAAACCCAAAAAAAGAGAGACTGCTTCCCTTCAAATAAACAAACAGCTTTGCTAGAACTCATCTAGATGAGATATAATTTGGTCTCATTCACCTTTTATAGCCATTGGATGTGATGCTATAAGATGTGTGTGTGCTGACGTGGATTGTATATGTTCTTGTTTTCAAAGTGAATGAGACCAAATTATATCTCATCTAGATGAGTTCTAGGTACTCCCATAAACAAATCCTTTCAAGCGTAAAGTTCTTGTGGATGATTTCATGAGACTCTGGAGTTACCTAATGTACAGTCATATGTAGTGAAGGCCCAAACATTGCATTATCATGTCCTTGTTGGTTGTGCTCTCAGCCAACTCCTGCAAAGGCTGGAACACCAGATGCAGCATTTCCTATCTAATAACTAACATGAAGCTAATGTACTCCAGTTGGTTGCCTGAAGATCATTTAGGTTTTTCCTTCTCAAGTGCAATCTCCACGAGCTGAATATTTCCCCGTAGTGAATCAGCCTTGCAAGAGGGAAGGAAAGAGAAGCCATCCAGAAGCTTCAAACATTTCAAACCCCACTTCACCATCAAAAATTCAATCAAGTGATGACCACTGCACAAAAGAATCAGGCCGATTTATTAGGGGAGTAGCTCGAAGCAGTTTTATCAAGTGGAGAAGGTTGAAGAATTTCTTGGAACCTGCGATTGTGGTATGTGGTGATGAACACTGCCCCAGGAGAATTTTCCAGCAGGAAGGTAACCATTGCGAAGAGATCATCAAATTCTTACCAACATAGATGCAGCGGTATGTTAACTTACGTGTCTCAGCCAAAGTGACAAGAATGCAAGCCAAGAGGAGTAGATAAGTAGCTTACTTGCTGAATCATAAAGCACATCGGCTCCGAGAATAATATCAGGGTGCAAATCAAAAACAGGTTCATCCCAATCTCCCCAAGTAAGTCCTAATACCTGCATGGTTAAGTATGACCTACTACTTGTAAAATGTAAAGCTGCTTTCGAAAGATGCAACCTGTAACAAATAACTTCAGATCAAAGCATACCGTACAGTTCACATTATTGAGGCCGCATACTTGCTTGATGTTGTCCAGCACCTACTCATTGAAATCAAAAGCTGAAACCAGTTAGTTTTGAGCCATCAACAACTAATACTGAACTACAAAACGGTATAGCCAGGATGGGGTTGAGCTAACTTCTGTATTATGTGCAATGTCTGTCAGCGTAACACCTGCTCCAACTTTTGCAGCTACTATACCTGGCAGCGAGGTTCCTGCACCAAGCTGTAAGCCATAGACATGAATCAGAAAAGCGTAATTTTTTTTTAAGAACGGCGACATTCACATTACAAGAAATCTTTTCATTTGTAGAACAGGAAAATAAGTGCCACACTTGTAACACAGAGAAATCTTTCATTTTTAAAATGGCAAATTATAGTCAATTCCATCCAAACAAAGAACTCACGACGTAGGAATATGAATCGCACCGACACGTCTTTCCTACTGTTTCCATTGTAAAAAAAAATGCACCGACACAGAGAATAATGACTGTCCAAAGGTTCAAGCATGGAGAAGTACCCTGTGTTAAGCACTGGAACTTGTTCCGTACAGAATTATAAGGATGATTAGTACCTCGACAACTCTGGAGCAGGAGAAGCGCGGCCTCTGCTGCCACACGTATTCCGCGAGGATGACGCTGCATGGCCAGACGAACATCCCGTAATCCTCTTCTATATTCTGCACACCGGTTGATAAGCATGCAGTTCGTCAAGGCAGACAAATTGAACAAAGATAGCACTAGCGCTGGAAGACATCCGTGCACTAGTCCTGGACTCCTGTCCTATGGCAGCAGCATTTCGCCGAACGGCTGAGCTGCACCAACCACGGAGTCCGTCCTTCCCCACTGCTGTCGCTCGTACAGACGAGTTGCCCGGAAGCGTTGACCGTCACAGAGAGTGAAAGACATGGCGACGACGGACGTAAGTGGTGGCTCTTGGCCGTGTAAAGATCGAGCACCACTGTCCACTGGTGATGGTGAAGAGGGTGGGGTACGAGGTGAGACGGACTAACCTCGATGATGTCGACGCGGAGGTCGTGGTCGCTCTCGGAGGAGGAGCCGCCGAAGTAGTGGCGCGAGACCGTGGTCATGCGCGGTGGCGGAGCGCGCCCGGGCTCCTCCTCCTCCGCCTCCGACGAGGACGAAGAAGCGGAAGCAGAGTCCATTGCGTTGCGGAAGTCGGGAAAACGCAGGCCACAGGCCGGGAAAAATATGTAGTGCGTATGCTAGCCAAGTAATGAAATGTGTAAGGTGCAACGTCAACATAACGGGGATGTAGCTCAGATGGTAGAGCGCTCGCTTAGCATGCGAGAGGTATGGGGATCGATACCCCACTTCTCCAATTTCTTTTTTGTGGGGAGGCGAAGGTGTTATTTTGAGGTATGGGGATCGATACCCCACTTCTCCAATTTCTTTTTTGTGGGGAGGCGAAGGTGTTATTTTCTTTTTATGGATGATGAGGTGTTAAGTTAGTTACAAAGCACATTTCCGTTAAAAAATAATTTTAGCATAGCTCAAAAGGTATCAGTAGCTCAGTCAAATGTAGAAAATGATAAGGCAGGCAACAACAATTTAATATAAATAAATAAATGTCTTGTTTTTATATAAACACAATAAAACACAGACGATAACATATATTCGCTCACGCCCGCTAACACACAACCTTTTCTTTATAAGCGAGGATCTTTAATCGCTTCGTCTCGCTCCCATGTCGTCTCCTCCGGGGACTTGAGGACTCCAAACCCTAGCCGCCGTTGGGCTCTTACTTCATCACCCTCGCCATCACTGTCGCCGGCCTCGTCTCCGGTGCTAGTGGGCCTCATTCCCAAATGGGACGGGGCCTCCATCCGTCCCTCATGGTAGGGGAGCTCGGAACCTAGGGTGGTGGCCTTGGGACGATTGTGGTGTCACGGCTTACTTTGGTGTAGGGGTGGGGTCTTGTCGGCGGGCGACGGTCTGTTGGCTTGCTGGAGGTGGAGGCCAGGCAACGGGTGGAGGTTTTGTCGTGGGCGTGTGTGGCCCCTCATTGTCGCACGCTTCGGTGTTTGTGGATCGATACCCCACTTCTCCAATTTCTTTTTTGTGGGGAGGCGAAGGTGTTATTTTCTTTTTATGGATGATGAGGTGTTAAGTTAGTTACAAAGCACATTTCCGTTAAAAAATAATTTTAGCATAGCTCAAAAGGTATCAGTAGCTCAGTCAGATGTAGAAAATGATAAGGCAGGCAACAACAATTTATTATAAATAAATAAATGTCTTGTTTTTATATAAACACAATAAAACACAGACGATAACATATATTCGCTCACGCCCGCTAACACACAACCTTTTCTTTATAAGCGAGGATCTTTAATCGCTTCGTCTCGCTCCCATGTCGTCTCCTCCGGGGACTTGAGGACTCCAAACCCTAGCCGCCGTTGGGCTCTTACTTCATCACCCTCGCCATCACTGTCGCCGGCCTCGTCTCCGGTGCTAGTGGGCCTCATTCTCAAATGGGACGGGGCCTCCATCCGTCCCTCATGGTAGGGGAGCTCGGAACCTAGGGTGGTGGCCTTGGGACGATTGTGGTGTCACGGCTTACTTTGGTGTAGGGGTGGGGTCTTGTCGGCGGGCGACGGTCTGTTGGCTTGCTGGAGGTGGAGGCCAGGCAACGGGTGGAGGTTTTGTCGTGGGCGTGTGTGGCCCCTCATTGTCGCACGCTTCGGTGTTTGTGGATTTTGCCACCTTCGTCCAAATCCAGCTTTCGACCATACTTTTCGGTGCCCACTGCTATGATATGTCTCTAGTGGTGTGCGGGGTCAGATTGTTGGGGTAGCAAAAATGTTGATATGTGTGATTTTGGGCGCAGTCGGTGGTGATGTCTGGCGTTCCAGGCAATAGCTCAATTCTAGCTCTTCGCCGGAACTGACAGTGGTGAAACGTTCTAGTGCCACTTACCTCCATGGTGGCATCGATTGCTATGACACTTTGTCCTGGTTTGTGAACCTCCGGGGAAACGACAAATCCATCTGAATCTGTCGATGGCAACATTTTGTGTGTCGCTCCCCTCCTTGGAGGCATCGACTTGGAGCCTCTTTGCTTGGCGTCATCTATGGCCGAGTGTGTTCGGTTGTGGTGGTGTGGGTGTTCTGCCTCTTATTTATTTATATCGTCTCCTGGCGTGGCCTGAAGGTGTCCGAGTTTGCTTTCTGCTATCGCGGTGGTGGGTGTGTAGGGCAAAGCAATTCAGGTGTGGACTCCACTCCATGATGGCCTTCAATTTTGTTGGTGGGTACCATTGTTGTGTTGTAGCCTTGACTGTATGTGGTCCTTCATCCAGGTGTGCATCCGGTTACTTGTTGCCTTTCGACTGTGTGCGGTCAGATTATTTGGTCTTGGGTGATTGGAGCCCTTCTTCTATGATGGTGGTGTTTTTGGAGCAACCTCCGCTGGTGAGGACGCTGTAAGAAGATGGTCCTCCATTTCTTCCTTCTTTTCGATGATTGCCATGTTGTTGTCTCAACACATCGTCTCTTTTTCTATCTTACAGCTGTCGTTATTTGTTATTCTCTTCCTTTTATTCCCTTGTAATTTCACGGCTACATCAATTTCTATGCTTAATGAATGAAATCCAATGCTGATACAGTTTGTGAAGAAAAAGAAGAATCTAAACAGGTAATTCTTGGTATTGACAAAGTCACGACAGAACTAAAAGAACATTGCCAGCAAAACTCAAATATAATCGAATCAATGTGAGCACAAGTGCCAAGTCTAAAACTTAAACCCCTGGTAGATAAGTTTCATCACGAGGAATCTAACCATCTGGGTTATGTTCAATTTGCATAAGGGTATTGGATAGTTGGATTGGTTTCCTGCCATGGTTACTCAAGTGCTTCCCTCTATCCACCACTTAGGATAACCCCAACCTGAAAACATCCAACTACAAGGAAACATATCTCCCCCGTAGTTCAAATGCTAGTCCCACTCCCTCCTTCTCTCCCCAGAACCACCACTACCAAAATCATGCGCCTACTATTGACATTGAGCCCTACAACTCCCAAGCCAGTGAGACGTTCTAAACATATCTATTTTTTTGAACTTTTTTGTTAGTCTTGCCCTATAGACTTGCTAAATTGAATGAGACAGGCGATGTCTTCAGAAGAATTGCAGAATGGTGTTTGTTATTGTGCAGATATAAAATTCTAAGAAAAATCCAACAAAAATACTTTCTTGCAAGTCATTGAAAGGGAAGGCTACCTGCAAGAGGTGGACCCCTATGGAGACCCATGGGACCCACACGCCCCTGCTACATGTCCAAGGAGGGGGGCATGTGTGTGACCCATGTGGGGACCATAGGGTTCCCCTCTGCCTCTCCTTCCGATTATGAATCACCATCAACCCTTGATTCAGGTATGTACAACTTACCACATATCTTTGTGCGAAACAAAGAGTCACCGCCATTGCTATTCTTCGTTGTGAGAGGCTGTTTGGAGGAAGAATTTGATACGTATCCGTCATATCTATATTTTTTATTGTTCCATGCCAATATTAAACAACTTCATACACTTTTGGCAACATTTTATATTATTTTTGGGACTAACAATTAATCCAGTGCCTAGCGACAGTTCCTATTTGTTGTATTTTTTGGTTTCGCAGGATATCCATATCAAACAAAGTCCAAACACGATAAAAATGTATGGACATTTATTTTGGAATATATGTAAACTTTTGGAAGAAGAATGAACGCAAGACGTTGATCGAGGGGCCCACTAGGCACCAAGGCGCGCCAGAGGGTCCATGCGCCCTGGTGGGTAGTGGGCACCTCATAAGGCGGTTGCTACCCTTCTTTTGCCGCAAGAAAAATAATTTATGGATAAAAGTTGTGTTAAAATTTCAGCCCAATCAGAGTTACGGATCTTCAAGAA